GGTTGGTTCGTTGATTGGTTGATGGTTGGTTGGTTGGTTGGTTGGTTCGTTGATTGGTTGGTTGGTTGGTTGGTTGGTTGGTTGGTTCGTTGATTGGTTGGTTGGTTGGTTGGTTGGTTGGTTGGTTGGTTGGTTGGTTGGTTGGTTGGTTGGGTTTTTTTTATTCTTGTTGGTTGGTTGTGTAAAGAAAGTATCAAAAACAGTTCATCAACCTATTTCACTTGCGTCTGTGGTGTTGTGAGTCGATTCTTCGGTCCATGCTAAGGAAGGAAGTTCGATTCTTGTGGGGGAAAGATACTTTTATAGAGTATCTCCAGAAAATATACAGAGTGATAAAAAAAAAAACTGTACAAATTAAACTACCGTGACTTCAGGCTCCTCAATAGAACTGTGCACCCTTTAAATGATTCTGAACCACCATCAATAATTTGGTCAAATTCGAAAGTAAAGTGGTTCCGAAGTTTTAGGTGGCGAAAGGGACGGACTTTCTCAAATATAATATGAAAAAATGTACATTGTGTATTGTGAATCCAGAGGAAGAAAAAACGATTTACAACGGTTACATTATAAAAAGCTAGTTTACATTTCGTGGGCATCTTTTTAAAACATGAATGTTTGGGCTTTGCCCATAGTCTAAATTAATGTAGAGTCCGAAATGAACAAAACAGAGTAATTTACAAGGTAAGCCTGTTCGTTTACGGTCTGGTCTGCCCATCTCTGTGTTTTTTGCACTTGAAGAAAAGACATTGATTTTAGATGTTCGTTTTGTGGGCATACCTTTGAGAGGTTTAGGTTTTTCCCTCTGTCTGTGTATTTGTAAGCTTCGATATGGATGCAATAGAGGAACTCACAAGATAATTTTTTCTTCATTTACGGTCTAATCTACTCAGTTGTGGGTTGTTAGGGTTTTTTCCTCCAATATTTCAACTGACGAACAGCCATTTTTTATGTACGTTACGTGGGCATACCTTTCAAAGGTTTACGTATGAATTTATACAAAATCCAATATGAACAAAATAGAGGCACCTACTAAATATTCCTACTCTTATCATAGTGTGATATCAGAATCTATCTATGTGTATGTCACATTATGCAGTTGCGAGCGCCGTAAAACCTCTACTAAAAAACTAAAAATCTATGTGTATTTTCCAGTGAACTGCCCACAATTGGACGACCCTTTCGCCGGATGCAACGCCTTCAGCTGTTTCAGCCCAGCCGTTGTAACAACCAACGTGTGTTGTGGCACATGTAACGGTATATTTGTCTGACGTTATAAACCTTGGACGATTGGTGAAGTACTTATACTACTGGAAACTACAGCGCTCAGTGTGTGTAAAGGATTTTGTTGGAAGATCTCATATGTGTTCACTCACTCACTCACTCACTCACTCACTCACTCACTCACTCACTCACTCACTCACTCACTCACTCACTCACTCACTCACTCACTCACTCAGTTTAGTTTGCATGAATCTGGACTATAATCTGGATGACTCTGATTCGAATCGCCACAAGGCCTATTTTGAGCGTGGATTATTTGGCAATCGTAAAGGGCAGCACATTAAGTGAGGTTTCACGAATTAGAAATTCTGAAGCAAACCGCACATCTACATATCAGGCGTACGCTGATAAAACGCCTTTTTTATTCACAGCATCTTCGAGAAAAAGGCGGTTTTGGGGGGGGGGGGAAGGGGTTGGTAAGCGTAACCATTTAAAAAGATTCAGATCACAGAAATGAGATGTTACCGCAGACTCCTTGACATCTCGTACAAAGACCACATTTCAAATGCCGAAGTACGAAAGAGAATCACCAACGCAGTGGGACAATATGAAGATCTACTGACCACAGTGAAAAGACGAAAACTAAAATGGTATGGGCATGTCACAAGATCCACAGGACTTGCCAAAACAATCCTGCAAGGAACCGTACAAGGAAAGAGAAAGAGAGGAAGGCAGAGAAGGAGATGGGAGGACAACATTAAAGAGTGGACAGGAAAGACGATGGGTGACAATCTGAGGGGAGCAGAGGACAAAAATAGATGGCGAGAGCTGGTTTTCCAATGCAGTGGTGCCCCAACGATTGCCCCAACCATGGGATAAAAGAAGAAAAAGAACCATTTAAAAATACATGCAGAACGCTTCCGAAATTTCAATTCTAATTTATGTTTTAAAAAACTAGTCACCGTTTCAGTTTGATTTTCTCACACAAGTAGGGTAACAGGTTAGGCTTTCGATTTAGCAAATAAAACATTTTGGCGCCAAAAAGAAAGAAAAAGCGTTTTGTCAGCTTTCGGCAGATGTGTAAATGAAGCTTTTAAATGCTCAAGACGTTGCAAACTCTTCTCTGTCAGAATTGGTCTGGGGGGGGGGGGGCTCTCGTGGCCTAGAGGTTAAGGGTGCATCTCTTATTCAATAGGTGTCGGGTTCGAATCCGACTTGCCACGGAATTTTTTTCTCTAAAAAAATTGTCTCCTGTAACCTCCCTTTCCTGTTCTCTAGCAATGTTCTGTCGTCTGCTTTGGTCTCCACTTTCTGCCCCCACCCCTCACCCCCTGTGCCTCCTCCTCTGGGCTCCTGTCTCTTTCTGCAGACTTTCTACTGCTACTCCATGAACCTTTTCACTGCTGTCTTTCAGCCCCACCCCTGATCTTATGGTAGGAAAGTCAAGGGCGAAAAATCTTGGAGGTCCCGTGTGCAAGTGGCTTACGTTAAAGATCCCTGGGTGGTCCAAAATCGAAAAGAGTATAATAGGCTTCGGCTGCCACTCGGGCAAAATTCAAATTTTCTTACCAACTAAAAATGTTTAATGTGCCCCATGCGCTCATATGACCTAAATGCAATTGCGAACACAGTAAAATACTTTCCAAAAACAAAAAAACAAAAAAAAGAATTGGTCTCATTAGCCCTTGCAGAAGCCGCTCGCCATCTTGTTCCTAATTTCTTCTATTTCTCTTTAAGAAAATGTACTATCCTGTGCAGATGCATTGTTCATCGGATGACAATGACAGACGATTACATATTATGATGTGTACATTTGAAAGGAGTGCATATTTCATTTATTTGGTAATCATATTTACAATATTTTGATGAGCTATTAAAATTTGAAATAATCATAACTCATAGTTGTTAATGAGCGGGTTTTGTTCATTTTTTAATTTTTTTGTTTGTTTCCGCTAGAGCCGTTAAGAATGTCCCCCCCCAGGAACAAGCAGCAAAATAAACAAACAGTAGGAGAAACATCCTACAGGTTTTCTCTTCTACACCGTAGCAGCAACAACAACAGCAATATTATCAACAACAGCAGTAACAACAACAACAACAACAACAACAACAACAACAACAACAGCAACAACAAAGGTAACAACAACAAAAACACTAGACAATAAGATAAAAATAACAATAGCCCCAGTAACAATGAAAGCAACAGAAGCAGCAAAAGGACAACAAGACTAACAAACCAAACAACAGCAACAACAACAACGAAATCAAAAAGAATAACAGCAACAAACACGATAAAAATAAATCGTAGCAGTGTAATGTTAAAGTTGGAATTTCCTGATGTGATTAAGGAAAGCATGTGGCAGGATGTATCGGTAAGAGCAGAGATGTTCAACTTCAACCACTCAGGGAGCCAAACTCAAATCACACTTCTGTTTCAGTTTGCGGGCAGAACTGGGTAAACTCTCACAATGAGCAGTGGAAAACTAAACCTTTATTTTTAAGCAGTGATATGAATTAAAGCTAGAACTACGAGGATAATAACAAATCAACGTACATAAATATGGACTCTTGTCCTCGTTTGTCAGCGCTGGTTGTTTGGCTCCTTGTTTAGCCCTATCCGTACGCCCTGGGGTCATTTTGTACCCACGGGGTTGTATTCTTTACGTTTTAGAATACTTCTAGTACGAAGATCTTTTTGAAACTTTCAGTATTTCTCAAAAAATCATTTTGACAGACAGCTATGCAAAGCGTACGGATCGGATTAACGAGTAAATTAATTTCCTCTTTTGAAAGTGGAGGCAGAGTTCCCCACGTCGTATGGATACGAAAGTAAAACACGATGTAAGGATAGGGTTAGGTAACACGTTCGTAGATTACAGTCGACTACGGATGGATTGATGTCGTCGGGGGAGTGAGAAAAAAATCAACTCATCCCACGTTCAATATAGTGTAAAGCGCATAGAGCCTGCTGTTGAGCGGGGATATGCGCTATACAAATGCTATTTATTATTTATTATTATTATTAACTTAATCTTTTGTTTGTTTGTTTTAGTAAGGTTTTACTGCTCTCGCAACTGTATAAGGTCATATGAGCGCCAAGGGGTGTGTCAACAGAGAAGTCCAATTGGCGCTCATATGACCTTATGCAGTTGCGAGTGCCGTAAAACCCTCTACTAAACTAAAAAGAGAAGTCCAAATGGGTAATCAGGCTTACTCTGCCCATCTCTCTAGCCTCAACAGTATAATGTCTGCTTTGACTATCAAGGCACCCTGGAAATTGCAGTTCATAAGAGAGTGACAAACATACAAAAGAAGTAGAGAAAAAATGACGATAGTTAGGGTGATGAAAGAAAAAGCAGAAGTTACCCCTATGTTGTTTCTGCACAGTATGAGCATGGCATTGATAAGTCAGTCCATTTACAATTCTTTGGGAATGGCCTAAAGACACTTCAGTCAGTAGCATTGCCCTTTGGGGGAGGGGGGGGGGGCACTCAATCTTTGGGACCTAAGCTGTAAAGAAAAAGTAGTGCTGGGACCTGAGAAAAAGATCAACTCAAGCAAGTTCAAAACAAGTTGGGTCGACTGTATTATTATGATTTGGGGTCTAGTTCTGTAGTATGGAGATTTTCAGCATGGACTACCTAGAACTAGAATTTTTCGCGGGCCTTGTTCTCCGGGACGAATGCGACCCTCGGGCCGTGAATTTGTCACATACTATAAATAAGACAAATCGATTAAATAAGACATGCTATAACAAATGAGACTGCAAAACAATAGGCGTGGCTTACTTTACTATATTATATTTCCGATCCAGCGGCCATCTGGGTTCTAACCCTTTGGCCTGTCGATATGGCAAAATAATGTACAGGTTTTTATTTTTGTCGCTGTATAAAGTATTTCCGATATTTGGAGAGGTAGGTAGGTAGGTACTATGCAGGTCGCTAAGTCTTGTGCAGGTAAATAGGTGGCGTGATACTGTTTCACTCTGACAGTCACACAACGCGTAGTCAGATGGGGTATCCTTGCGGATCCTATTCTGGTAGGATTTCAGTGGGATGTGTTGTGTTCGCAGGCTAAAGATAGTGTCTTGTTCTCTTCTACTCAGGGAATTAAGTGCATCTTTTGAGTTGGAAGCAGTCATGTGTGAAAATATAGCTCTGTCAGTTTTGCCCAATGCGCATCCATTCAGCCTCCATTCCCTAGAGTTGCATAGACGTAGTTATCTAGCTATGAGAAAATCACATCAATCTGGAATCCTCTGCTTTGTCCAGAAGAATCAGTAACAAACCTAATCCCAGCAGTGTCAGATTTCAAGGTGAGCGGTGGAATGTGGGTCCAGGCCCCACAGAGTCGCCCAAGCCCTTCAATTTCCAGGAAATCTTTTTGGCAGTTTGGGCTGGGTTGAAGGTCAATGTGAGTAAAGTTCAAGGTCACAGAAGAGACGTTTGGAGGTTTCGAGATTGTCCAAGTGCATTCAGTGTGCGGCTTGTACATGGTGTGAGGGAAGCCAGGGGAACTAACCGTGCTGCTCCTTGTCACATTGTGGCCACAGCCTGGAAACAGAGAGAGAAGGAGAAATTGAGTAGGATGGAGGAACATTAATAGGAGAGATATATATGTGGGCGGAAAGCAGGAAACGAAGAGGCGAGTCTCTAGTCCCCGTTAAAAACGAAAATAGCCGTTGTCGTTGTTATCAGCATCATCATCACCAGGACCACCACCATTGCAGCTGCAGTGTCTTGTCAGATTTTGCTACCTTAGAATTACACAGTTCTATCTGCTCAGTATCTAGTTTCGAGAAATTTGACATCAAAATCTTTAGTTTCGCAACATGTCAGGCTTTTTCGAACGCAATTCTTTGAATATCTTGACAACGACTCCAGTTAATCTTACGAGTTTGATAGAGCGAGTAGAACATTTGGTTTCTGACCTCATGGTCTTAGTAACTCAAAACGGCCAAAAATGTCAGATAAAATTTTGTAAGTCTAAGGTAGCGATTTCTCATCTGTTTGAGGACGAAGTGGGTACATAGGTGCAATCAGCAGAACAAAGACAATGTTGCAGCACGTTTTCAACCGTCATACATACACCGGAAACTCGGAGAAACACTGTGTTGGTTCGTGGGTGCTCTGGCGTGGTTTGCTACTTCTTTTCTCTCAATCATCTATCGGCGTTATTTCTCCTTTCTTTTTTATGTTGGTTACGCTCTTGTAACACTTTTAATCTACAGCACTTAAATGACCTTATTGTGTTGCAAGTGCTGTAAAATTCTTACCGGTAATAAAACTTTTTTTAAAAGATATATATTATTTCGAAGTATGCATGTTGTTGCCTAGGCCTACCCTGTTCTACTGTTTTCGATATAATATAGAAAACAGAATTTAAAAATCGGTATGGATTAGAGATTTTTTAAAGAAGGCAACCCCAAAACAGCGCGTCTTCAAAGAATGGAGTGCAAAGGAAGAAATCAATAAAGGTTACGACGACTTGCAGCTCCCGATAAGGCTGACGAGACCAGTGTTGCCAGAGAACAGCAGTAAGAACACGAACAACAAATACCAAAACAAACTATTTTTAAAAAAAGAAAGAAAAAGCTACGTTCTTGGCCAACGAAGTGCCTGAAGAAAGATCTAAAGCCCGTCCGTCCTCATTTTCGTCTTCCTTTCCCGCACAAAGAGCCCATCAGTGCTTTTAACAAGATTAGTATTTTTGCCTCCTCCTCCTCCCCCCCCCCCCCCCCCCTCTCAAGAAAAGAATGGACATTTTTTAGATCATTGAAAAGGCAGCTTCGGCCCTTTCTGTGAAGGCTAACGCAAGTTAGAGGGATACAACATCCCAGCAGAAAGACCAAAATGTTTGATACCCCCCCCCCCCTCCAAAACCACTACGGATTCGAACTCGCGTCTCCTGTGTACTTCAGTAAAGCTCCTAACCGCTACACCACAGACGTCAGTTGTGTCGATTGTTTGTTTGAGTAGGTTTTTTACGGCACTATCGATTGTTGTATTGATGTGCTTCTCTTTACTAAAAAATGAAAACCTGAAAAAACAAAAAAGTTTTAAAAATTAAGAATTAATAAATTAAAAACCCAAATCTTTTCCCCAAACTGGATCTATAATCATTGCCGTGTTGATGTGAATATTTTCAACCCCCATAAGTGTACAATCAAACCATTTACTACTCCCGGGGCGGTGCTACTGACTAAAGTGTCTTTAGGCCATTCCCAGAGGGGGGGAGATTAA